CCTAGCCAGCGAGGTAGCGTCAATCAAGGCTGAAACAGTGCGAACGGAAACGCGAGCACTGTGGCCAGCAACGTTATAAATGTTTGATAGTCTGGCCAATCCAGGTAATATTCATGTGCTGTTGATAGAGCCGATCAAGCAGCAGATCAGCAATATTCTAATCATATTAATACATTTATGATAATGACGAACAATGCTTTATTATGGTAAAGTTATTTGTGGTAATTAAATTACTGTAAAAGCAACAAAGACAATAGAATCTTACAGAAGCACCTGAGAAGAAAGCGAACTACACTGAGTATTATCGAATATTCAAATAACTGAAAAAATAAACTATCCAAAAGGATAATATGTACAAACGAATCAATGAGCAAAGTGAATAGGTGAAGTAAATGTCTTCTAATACTTCGTTCGATGAACTAGGCAAATTATGTGACGATGACATGTATGCCGACTATAGAAAAATAAAGAAATCTCCTTTAGAATACTACAACGTCAACAAACACAGACATCGATAAGTAGGACTGTACAAGAATGCATAAATAATACCATCGTTTTTCTCTAAAAATACTGATAAAAAACTTCGCTAGAGGATTTCAATAATAAAGCTAACACAACAATGAAGATAACAACAAGAATGATAGTGAAAGATGAAAACTGATAAGGCAGTCAGAAGTAGCAATCAGAGGTATGCATACAATATCAACTCCACAATGAGAATGTATCAAATTACTAACTATTCAAATGAGGATCAATAACGTCAGCAAGTGAACTGATTTCAACAATTGCACTTCTCAACATAAATAAATGAATCAATATGCATACTTTGAAAAGATAAACTATCAACAATGAGCAAAATACGATCCGAAACTAATGCAAACATCAAAAAATGAGCAACTAACGAAAATAAATTGTAAATAAATGTGTAAATAAATTGTAAATAAATTGAAAGCTATATTCTGAGAACATATATACATATTATTATTACAGAGTTAGCAATATTGGGCAATATGAAGTAATTGTGAGAAGGATCAGCGATACTCACCAATACACTTTTCATTTGAACACGCTACCGTTCTCCTTTTGAGTTCATCGATGCCAAAAAGATTGCGCGCTCAGAAAGGAAACTTCGACTGCTTTTCACTGGTTTGAAGCAAATTTGCTAACATTTGATAGCGACAATTCAAAACGATCTATTATTAGGAATTCAAGAGGCAGAAACAGGTTGCGTTCATGACTCTAAACAATTAATGACTGAACAAAGCAAGAGCATATACATCGTACGTAAGTGGATTACTTATTAGATAAGCCAAAAATTGTCTTTTCAAAGGAACGATCTCTTGTTGAGAATTTAATAGACAGAAACAGATTTGATTCATGAATAAAACCAATAAAACATTGCAACAACGACGACCGAATCCAATTTCTTTTGATCGATAATCGATGCAAGTCTATTCGTTGAGAATCTTTACCAAACTTCTTCCTACTTGACATCATCAGTAAACGGACGAACGGACTCATTCGTTGTGTTCCGATAGTGAATGACAACGAAATCAACATATCAACGCGATCAGTTGACGATCCATCATCAATCAACAGTCAGCCATCAATTCGATTGATTTTCATCGCGAATATAGCAAAGGTAATTGCAGAAAACACAAAATCAGGGAATGTTAGAAATTTTTAGCTGAATACCAATCATCAGCCACTCCAACTCCAAACTCTATTTCCAACCCCATTTCTGATATCCACCATAAATTTTCTCTCGTTTCTTTTCCTCATGCGTTTCCTGCAAACATATCACGTTAAAAAATTGAACTGATTGAGAGAGATATCAGCTGAACACTCATTACAAACTTGTCGTTCCTAACGAACCGAATCACTCATCTTTATTACCTGTCCATTTGGGCATGACCATGTTTTATCCTCAAGCTGACATTCCAGCTGACCAAAATGGAAGCATAAAAGAGACGTTTAGCATGGATAGTATAGGATGTAGTGGAAATGGGTTGAGTTTATTCAGAAAATCGGTACTCAGATGATCAATATACTTTGCTGAATGCAGGTAAGTGAACGACGACACAATGATAAAATGGAACAAAATTACATTTTCCAAGGAACTCACTGTGGCGGACAATTGATATTGATGGCAACAGCATTGGTCGTTTTGCTGTGCTTCTGGATTTGTTTGAGAGTCATGACTTCGTTTTGCATTCCTTTCGTCGTCAATGCTAACACTATCCAATTCTTTGTTCAAATCCATATCATTTAAGCGACCATCAAGAAGCGACACTTGATCACCGCCATCCAAAGCGCTTGTCTGAACAAAAACACAATGAATCAGCCGAAACCATCCACTGTTTTTGAAAAAAAAACTGATCCATTCACTCATAGTGCAAAACATTTTTATCCGACTGCCGCAGTAAAATCATTACATTCGTTCTGAAAACATCGAAAACCGAAATTCACCATTCGAATAAACAATGTTGAACGCTGGGTGTCAAACGAGGTGAGGGATTAACGTCGTTTCATCAGAATTCTTGTTTGAAAAAGCAATGAAAACGTGAGTTACGGTGGACTGAAATTTCAACAGTGAAAGGACTGAAAGTTTGACAGACGACCAAAATTTCCGATTCAAAAAAAAGAGAAAGACATTTTTAAAATTCACTTACACTTTCATTCGCAGTTAACTGGAACTTGAGTTTTGGAATAATGATCGGTGGAGGTCGACGCCGTCCTGACTGAACCATCGTGCCACTCGGTTTCTTCGACGTCGTCTGAAAACAACTCTCTTCATTTTTTCCTCATTCGGCCACTCACATCAAATATATAACTCATTCATGAAGCTGCGAAGATCACAAATCTATTCTGTTCAATAAATCGGGAGCAATTGAGAACGTGTCATGCCTAGCCCTATTCCGAAGGATTTCAATTTTATTTCATTCAATCAAACAAACAAAAAACACACGCAAGCGAAAATCAATGGTGGCTGACCTGCCGTCTCGACTTGGTTCTACTGAGACGTTCATCAGCAATTTTATCGTGCACTTTTGAGACTGGATTGACAAGAACTGAATCATTACGCAGGTAATCGCTTAATGAGATCGTACGACTCTGCGCGATTGGGATCTTTTCGCGTAGGAGTTGTGCTGGTTTCATTTCCTTTCTTGAAACACTCTGCTGGAATGATAGATCACTGCCACTGTATGATGAGGTAGATTGTTGAGTGTTCAACAACGATTGTGACGGAGAACTCATTAGACCAGCCGCTATATTGGCCCACAAAGGAGATTCTGCAATTTCACAACGTTTCAATCGAAAATGGTTGGTAAAATATGCACAAATGTACAATGATCATAACGAAATGTTACGAAAAAAGTGTGAGATAAAACAGAGGGATATTCAATAGGATGGTTCAACGCGTTTAAAAAGTTAGGTGAAAGTTGGATAATTGCATGAAAGCGGTGAAACTGACTAGTGACAGCCTTTTGCGACAGAACCGGAGAGGGCGAGTCGGTTGATGTATCACGACCGAAAATGCTTCCACTACTCGTTGCACGATTGTGCCAAACACCTTGTAATATGCTGGGCGTTCCTGATTCCTGCTATACATTTATAAAAATCATAAGTTCATCATTCAATGAACACGTTTACAAGATAAGAGAACGCTTATCCGTTGAACGTTCATGCAGAATTGAGGCAATATTGCTGATAAGTGGTATACACAATGCGGTTAAGCATCTCGAGATGAATGTTTGTCTTGAACGTTTCAAATCAGAGAATAACATACAGAATCAGCGCTCAGCGGATGTGAACTAGATGAACGTTCGATAGAGGCAGACGATGGATGTCGTGAACGATTGGACGGTGTTGAAGGGTAACTACGAACCACTACTTGAACCTGAAACTTTGACGATCAATTAGCTCAATTCAACTGAATTCAAATCAAATTCAGTCTATCGATCGACCTTATTCACTAGTCCACTCAAGAAAAGAACTATATTCAAATACACATCATTTCTTACAAATCAAAACGATATTCAGATCACTTACACGCTTATTTTCGAGTGTTTGCGGTCTAGAAAAGTCGTTTAGTTTGGTGCGAATGCATGTGGTACGAGGACGAATCACACGATCTGTATAGCAGATTGCACACACAATCTCGACCTCACTGCTTCTCATCGGTGAATCAATCCACTCGGACATTGTGAAAGGATAAGAATCACATCTGTACGGCTCTGATTTTACACTCTAAAATTCAATCATAACATATTACATCAAATACGTTAAACTATCAACACAATGAAATATTTGTGTGGCCGTGCATTAAGGATGAAGTAAATCGGTGAGATATAACATCAAAAAATGAAAAGAGTAACCGTGTCATCGCAAAGAATCGATATGCAAATATTCTTGACAAGAACTTGTGAATGATACAAATCATCTGGTATACGATCTCCCTAAAAGTTTCGACTGAAGTTGAAGTAAATATGTGAGAAGAACGATTGTGTACACTTCCTCTCAGAAATAATCCACATGAAACTCTTTGAAAATGCATTTATCCAACTTTTTTTTGCAAGCAACTCACTTCCTAAACATTAAACGGACCCACGACGTGAAGAAATGAGCATATTAAATGCTCAATCAATTATTTGTGAACAGTAATAATGAACTGCCCACTTATTTTCAGTAGCTAACTGATAATGACAAAGTTATGACCAAAACAGAAATATTTACTCACCAATGAACGTTGATCCCAATCAGTATCCAACAGTATTTTGTAACGATAATTCGGATGTGATTCAAAATCAGACGGTCGTGTATACGATGTCAAATGTAGGATGAGTGAGAGCGATAGTGGTGGAGATTGCTTCTCGAGCTTCTGAAAGAAACTGCTTGCTAGATACTGATGATTTGTCAGAAATAAACATTCGAGCAGAGGAACGTAATATTTTATCCTTCATTGATTTCACGAAAAAATGGAGTATCAATGAATACTTTCTCCAATTAACGAACCTTTTTGCGATCAAGTTCATAGGAGACCTGCAACGATGGAAAATTCTTCATTCGGTCGTTCGCTCTTCGCAGATTCACCACTTCGCTATAAAACAGATGATGATGGCATAAAGCTGATATGAATCGAGAATGATACGAATATTGCTTCATAGCGCTTAAAGTCGGAAGTCTCATCTAGGACAAAGTGAATGTAAAAAAAANAAAAAAAAGTAATCACGAAAACACAGACGAAAAACAACATCGACGGAACATACTTGTACAAATTGGATCTTACACCAAGACTGCAAATGCCGAGGCATTCCAGATCCCTTTGTGTTACGTCCAGTAGCCGATTGCCATTTATATTATGGTGTAGAACAGACGCAATCATATGATCCAAGAGTTCGTTTTTGACAGCTGCAATACAATACAAACGATAAGCCCATCACAAAATCGACTACAGACTGCAACTGAACTCACACTAAATGCACATAAAAACACTGCCATAAATTTGCTTACATTTGTTTTTGTTCAGTGATTCAAATGTAATCTCTCGTTCAGAAAGTCTTACTCGAAACGATGAAACGATCGGCTGAAGTTGCTTTCGCAAATGATACCAATTTGCTGATAAAACAAACAGCTCAACGAAACAAATCTATAAAAGAAATTAACCTAGTGTTTTGCATATCTGTCGAATCCATTGACAAACTTGCTCTTCATCCCACAACGCCACGTCGCCTTCAAGTTGTTCCTCTCCATACTTGCCTCTTTGCGTTGCTTCTCTCTTCTTCAAAGCGTTCTCTCGACGACTTAATTCTCCCATTTTTATCGCAAAATCTATTTTCTGTGCCTGAAATACAAAACGAAATTAAACTCATCAAAAGATTTATTAATTACACTTTTACTAATATCAACACAGTCAGCATGCACTCAAAATAACACAACAAACACTGATGAAATGATACTGAGCACTAAGTGACCTCAATTTCTTCGAGTTGTTGTTCAATTTCACATTTCCATTCATCTTTATGCTTCAAGAAGTGGCCACATTCTTTGCTCAGTTCCGCATTCACCCGCATAGCGTTCAACGCGTCGATTACTTGATGCATAGTGTACCGTTCTTTTGGGTTTACTTTCCAACAACTTTTCATCAGACTGAAAGTCATTCATTTCAGTAACACCGAACGATATCGATACAAATTTAATCATTAACTTCTCGACTAGTTTCTACGCCGTTTCACGACCATATTCGCCACATCAAGTGAAGAAAACAAAATCAGTAAAATCGTACGTACCATGCAAAAGCCGACGGGCATTTTTCGGGTATCACTAGAGTCACGCCTTTTTGGGCAATCAAAGAATACACGCAAAATTCAGTAAGTCCTTTATACGGTACCTGCAACAACAAAACACATCTATCTCAAAATGAAATGCAAAGACGATGAGGTGAAAATGATTGTGAATTTTTGATTGTGAATACCTCTCGTGAGATCATTTCCCATAGAACGACAGCATAACTCCACACATCGGTCGCCGTTGTGATGCCTTCATTTTGGAGGATTATTTCGGGACTGAAAATTGACTAACGACAATAAAAATATATGGGACTGGTATGATGATAAAGATGTTCAACGTCAGATTATGCAATCAATAAACATAAACTGATCGACCGACAAAACTCACCTCATCCATGCAGCCGTGCCACCCCACGACGGTTCAGTCCAAGAATGAGTCAAATTCTTCGACGTACCGAAATCGCACAACTTACAAATGTGTTCACCAGTTAAGACGATATTTTTCGATTTGAGGTCGCGATGAATTATTGTTTCTGGAGCCTCATAATGTAAGTAAGCCACTCCTGAGGCGATCTGAACAAAAATTTATTAATGTTAAACCCGCGAAACACGTTCAATGAACTGTCAATTGAACGCTTCTTCATTTGACTACTGCACTTTCCCGAGCAATTTTGAGAATTCTCAAACAACGTTACTGTCATTCCAACTGCTTAAAAATAAGTTCTCGATTTTAACAAATCCATCAACTTTCTACATAAATATTATTTGAAATTGCTTTTCATAAATATTGTTTGAATGACCAACGAGGATTCACTTCTGAGATTCTAAGAGAGTGAGTGAATAAATGAATGAATTGGAACTTTATAAAAAGGAAGATGTTAAGAACATAAGAAGCGAGTCGCTTTTGAATGATGCAAAATGAAATAACCTGTATAGCCCAAGAAATGATTTGTTGGAAATCGAGGTCAGGGTTTTCTGGATTATGCAGATAATCGTATAATGATCCGCCTTCGGCGAATTCTGTAAGTTAATTATGACAATATTATCCAACCGCTCTGCTAAAGTTTAGAGATACTGATAAGTCTGTGGTTAAATATTACAAGTTACTGGATGACGTTAAAAATTTTATGATTAACCAATACTACCTTGTCTAGCAATAGCTGATGAGAAATCATTTGAAAACCAAATTCAGCAAAATGAGAAATCCATTCTTTGGCAAAAACATTCTTTTCATAGTAAATCATTGCATATCCATTTTTTTCATAGTAAATCATTGCATATCCGTCTGCAATGTGCCAGAAATAAATATCGAACAGGTGCTTAGTTAAAAATTCGAAATTTATAACAACAAACCTGTAACGATAAAGAAGTCTGGATCTGTTTTCGAAACACCATAAAATTGAATTATATTGCGGTGCCGAATTCTGGACAAAATATCAGCCTGAAACGACTTAGTATGATGGGACGACTTCATTTCGACAACCTATTAAGAAGTTACGCAAAATTTGTTAGGCAGAATAAACAATAGGTAAAATTAGAATAAAGACACAACGAACAAACACAAACAAAGTGGGATTCAATTCATGATTTTTGAAGAAACGATGATAATATTCCATTGAAAAATAAACGTACTTCCTTTTCAAGCATAAAAACTTTTTTCAACGCCACAGTCATTACTTTCCCTTTGGTTTTCCACTTTCCAAGATAGACCGATCCATAAGCACCGGCACCCAGTTGCTCACACAGCTCGAGCTCATCTCGAGGAATTATCGGGTAGTTAGCCACCGGAGGACCATCTTCTTCGATCCTCACTGTCGAGCTACTTCCTTGATCAGTAGAAGCCACAAATGAACCAGAAGTCATTACCCACCTCCGTGGATTTCAAGATACAATAGGTAGTCCTGAAATTTATATCAAGGTGAAATGGCGTGTGGTCTAATACACATAGAGAACACAGACGGATTCATATAACGAACATAATCAATTCACTAGAGAAGCAATTGCAAATCGCATCCATGAAAACATAGTCTTCGCACATTATCAACTGCTTTCTCGAAATCAACAAATTAATTAATTAGCTTCCAAAAACAGCAGATCAACCGTCGTTATGATTTCCGGAATTTTCAAGCAATTTATCACTACAAATGTTCACTTGGCCTAGTGCCAACTCTGGCGAATCGCCACTACATTCAGTTTTTTTAAATTGGCAATGTGCCAATTTGAAAAAAATTCTCAGCAACACCCCACCCCTTTCATTTTACAACGACGGGATGGCAATCGGCCAA